CCCCAAAACCCCAAAACCCCAAAACCCCAAAACCCCGTAGGGGAGAGTTTATGTTGAAAATAAAGATTTGTATTGAGATTTTGAAGATTTGAGGGGATTTGGGTACGAAAAGGGCTAATTTGGGATACTAAAAAGGCCTTGGCTGTACCTATGAGAGCTTATGCTCTGCAGATCACTGATAGTACTAGACTTACCAACTTTAGTAGCTGTAGTCACAAAAGAAGAGGTATTGCTCTTAGAGGAGACAATACTGTTCCGATGCTTCAAACGAGATCTTCGTTGAGGCTTTGGGGAGTGCTCAAATCTAGAATACTTTCTCCCCTTCTGAGCTTTTTGAGTCATGATTGACGTCTCTGGAGTTCAAGATTTTAGTTCTAACGATTCAGTTTTTATCTCATGTTCCAGTTTTAATGCTTGCAATTTTAACTGTTTTAAGAACATCTTTTTGTGAAGTAATTTCTTCTCTTTTAACTTCTGCTGCTTTTGTTGGGGTTTCTGAGAGCTTTGCATCTTATTAATACTAATAAAATCCTTCTGCTTTGGTAGATTTCTCTTTTTAATTTTCATTTTCTTAACCTTAGTAGTCTTCTGTGGTACGACATAATCCTTGAGAACAGACTTTCTCTTACTTTTGAAAATATTCTTAGATATTTTATCCTTACTTGGCTTCAACTGAACTGGGTGGTTAAGCTCTTTAAAAGATTGCGAATTCCTTATTCGGCGTTCTAAGCTTCATTCCCGTCCCTTCATCAAGCGCTTAGATATAGAATTTGCCCTCTTTTTGGATATCTTACGTTCCTTCTGAGATGTTGGTCTTGACTTAGACATCCGTCTGATCTCATAATCACGTATATTCCTTTCTCAGATGTCCACATTCATTCTTTGAATGAAACTAGATTTCTTGTGAAATTTGTTATTTGCAGGTGTAAAATTGCTGACTTTCCCTCTCTTTTCGTATCTTCTTGTAGTCATGTAAAGTCTTCAAGTTTATCTTGAATTCTCGATCAGGAGTTCAGAGCTCCTCCTCTGTGTTCTCGTAAATACTTGAAAGCTCGTGGAAGTTACTGTAATCGTCACAGTTAAGTCTCAGAGGCTTCTTTGCTGAAGATCCCTCGGTTTTAATCTCTTGGGGTGTTCTGGAATTGCAAGTGTGAATTTCTACTCAAGAGTGTATTCCAAACTCTTCATTCTTCTGCTCAAGAGGTCTTTCTTCAGGATGATAGCCTAAAGAAGTTAGGTTATAACAAGATATTGGTGATCACTAAAACTTTACAAAAATTAGCTGCCTATTTTATATTTTAATTACAAAAGCATTAATATTCTGAGCATACCATTTATTACAACTGGAGAAAAAGTTGATCCTTTCTTAGGAGAAGTCTTGGTAATATTTCACTTTCAGTTATCTCATCCATCAATCATCTCAAGTTTATCCGAATCTCTTCTCATCATTTTAGCTCAGGAGTTTGGCTCAGTATCAGCATCAGCAGAAGTTGCTTTCATAAAGTTATTGAATGATTTATCACTGAAACTATTATCTGCACCATTTTCATGGCTTTCTACATTAAAATAAGACTTAGTCTTCTTCAAATAAGTCGTATCGTAAGTATGTTTATTGTTCAACCCACTAGTATCACATTTACTACACATAGAGCCCTCAAGAGCTGATTCTGATTCCGTGTCTGAGTCTGGAGTGACTATAACCGTATATATGAATCAAAATCTTAAAAATCTGTAAAAAATTACCTAGCTCAAAAAGATCTTCTCCTTTAGGTTTCTGTTGGAGGCTCTTATAAGCCTCTAAAGTCATGCCCTCAAATCCTTCTGTATTTTTGAGAAGGTCTCATTTACTTATGAATTCCATGCTTCTTAATTTTAATTTGTAACAACTCACTAATAATTCATAGGGGTTTTGGGGTTTTGGGGTTTTGGGGTTTTGGGG